TGAAAATTGGTCCATAGGGGAAGAAATATTCCTGTAGGTAAGCATGATATAACTATTTACCTATTTGTGTATATCGCATTATCGCGGGAAAAGTGAAGAATAATATTAATAGTTTACCTAAAACGCGGTCGAGAAAATAATATTAATTTACTACTATGTTGTTCCGAACATGGATTTATATAGACTTCATTATGACACCCGAACGTAATAAAATAATAATCGAAAATCGTGCGAGGTATACAAATAGATTGGTGTGGCGTGTAGGCACATGACTTACCTATAATCTATATGTATATAATATATGTGAAGCTGGTAGGTTCGGTAAATTTCTCCGCCCTCGTGCCTGTTATTATAATATTATATTGTTGTACTTATTCGTCGCGCGAGGGCCGACAATGACACACGTATTATAGAGGTATTATATAGCTGCTGGTACCCATAATATTATATAATACGTAATATTATATATAAATATAAGTTATTATTCGTGGGTATATCGTTTATCGTTACGAAGTCCTCTTGTAGTTGTATTATTCCTTACCTTGTGCCTTTAATTTTTTCTTCGCCGTGCGGAAAACGTTGATTTTATCATACGTACCTACATACTATATAATAGTATAATAGTATAATATTATGTACTATAAAAGCATAAAAGAAATGCCAATAAATAAAAAAAAATTAACCATGAAAACCTTTTAACTCAAATAATTTATTAATATGTATAGGTGAATCGAAGGGATGTTTCGAACGTTTTTTTTGGACGACAACATACCCACACGGACACGGCCTCATCTTTTGAGTTTTGACTATTGCAATAAATCGCTACCAAATGAAACTACTCGTACTAATCTGATAAAAAATCTTAATACTATATACTACCAAAAAGTCAGAAGTAAAAAAGTACTAGAAAAAAACCCGAGTAAGAGTTCGTGATTAAAAAGTCCGGTACATACAATTTTGTAAAAGAAAAAATATGATGTGATGCACAATCAAACTTCCAATTAGTTGTTTTATAAATTTTAACTAAATGATATACCTGAAGAAATTAATAAATAATCTTGTAAGTAAAAATATCGGCAAAATATTCTCAAAATACATCGATTAAATATATTATTTTAAATATTGTTATACCAGAATTTTTTTTAAATAGGTGCATTATTTTATTAACTATAGTTAATTAAACTGATAAATCATAGTATTGGATAAACATTATGACTGCCTATTAAATTTTTTTTAAAGATTGTTATACATAATACATATATCATATACACCGGAATTTTCTTAGTTAATATTTAATTAAACTGAGAAATTATTATAATATATTTTGTACATGATGATAATGATACTAAGTACCTAGTTATAATCTTTGAATTTTATTTTTTACATGTAAATGAGTCATATACCAGACTTTTTTTCCTAGGATTTTTTTACTACGAACTGTTTTTACCGGGATTCTCTGAAAACATATTTATATTTGTTTTAATGTTTACTTGAAAGTAATCAACACACTTTTACAAACTTTAAAAATAGTTGCCTTATTTTTCCCTTTAAAGTTTAAACTCAGTGATTACTGAGATTATACAAAATTGAAAAAAAAAATCAAAATTATATGATGATTCGATGTCAAGTTAACTTCTTGATAAATTCAAGTTTTCATATTTCTCATCGGATTAGGTACTAGCTTTTTAGGTACGATGAAACAAACTTACATGATTTTTATTCTAAAATGTTACTCGTCAAATATAGATTGGTGACATGTATGTGCGCGTGTGGAACCTACTCACGGTTCTTGAACTAAATGTTTGTACGAACAACACTACAGCAGTATACGTATCTCATCTCATATTTTCTTACTAAAATATTTTATGTTAATTGCCTCCACAAAATATATCATCAGAAGGTACATTATTCAATTTTACAATAGGGGGCACCAGACATTTTAGTACGGGCACGGAGCAGTTGTCCTAACTTCCATACGCTAGAATCACCACTGCCTACCAGATTTTTTTTTACACTACATCATATACGCTCAAATAACCCAAATTTTAAAGCGGTAGTGTTTTTTCTTGAGTTTCCTCCACAAAACATTTTTTAAAAATTATTAAAATATACCTAGGTATGCTTAGTAGTAAGTTACTAAATATTGAATTGAGCGGACTAAGAGGCTTATTTGCGCCAATCCACTACACTACTACAGTACTACACTCAGACGACAGGCACGCTCGGAGGAGGGTCTCTAGGTCAAAATTTACCCATGCCCCGAAAACGAATCGCAGTACACAAGTGTGTCACTTATGCACTGTGGTGTGTTGCCAATATATTATTAATTTAAAGTTTAACATGTACCTAAGCAGTATTACGGCATTATGATGAAGAAAAAAAAGATTGATAATGAAATGTGGTGTGCTAAATTAGCTTGGCGACATTTTTTTGAAAAATGAATGTTTTAAATTCGAGTAAGCAAGATCGTAAAAAAAATATAATTACAGATTATAATAATTAGACTCTACACTAAGCTACTACAGTCGTCAGTCACGCATACTAATGATCCGTTCTGCACACACATTAACAATTTACACCTACGCACGCACATTGCCTATATTGAATTCCTTAACAACGGTCGGTATCGAATTCCTTTCGAAGCAAGGGTTGCCTGCCACATTACTCCTTGTATTTTCTCGATTATTAGTTATACAAATGTTTAATTCATTATTATATTTTTATCATAGGTACCTATTTATAATTTTAAAAATCGTGATGATATTGCAGTACTCAAATTTTAAATTTTTGCTAAGTTACTAATTTTTTCAAAGAAAGTAAATTCAAAAATCCACTTAAAAACCAAGTAAGCAAGTACTATTTGTTATAGAATATAGATAAATTAAGAAAAATCTGTTTTATTCGGTTTGTAAAATAATTTATTATCATCAATAGTATTCCAAAGAATAATTTTTAACTTAAAAAATAATTGATTGTTATCCGTGTCACGAAACATGCGCGAGTATAGCATATTGATTGTCTATAACTATACATTATACATATATGATAACAACAAAACAAAACAATAAAATCATTAATTATAATTTATAAAATATTTATGAGTGCCGCGGTAACGAATTTGATTTGGCCATACGTTTTCGTTCAAATTAAACAATAAGTATCTACTAAAAATATTAGGTAATATGATGGTGTACTTTTTATTACATTTATGATGCATGTGGAATGTGGATGTCCGCAACTCACAAGAACGAGTCAGAGTTGATTTGCTAATTGACAGTAATTGTTTAACCCACTATCAAACGAAAAAGGGACGAGCACCTCCGCTCACTCAAACATAATATTGTAACCAACTATTTAAAGTTCGCATATCGGGCATAATATTATGATAATTGATGACAATTTGATGTCTCAGAATGTATGGGAATAACTGTACAAGTATACAACCAAGTCAGGGTTAAGACTTAACTGCAGGGTTAAGAAGCCCAAGGCCCACACATAGTTGTCATCGACGGAGGAAAAATACAGTTGGTTCTTTTGTAAGGTATCCCTAGTTGTTTTCAATTTTTAACATTATAGTATTGCAGTGGCGAAGAGTCGTTGGAGAGTAGGAGACAATGAGACAACGTCTCCTCTCTTAGAAATTAGAACATGGGATGAATAAATAATAATTTTGTTTTATAAAATACTAACAAATTCAAATTTATATTTTATATTATAAATGTGATGTATGTTTCAATATTTGTTAAAATCTGTTTTTCATTGTTCCTAGTTATAGAATTCTTAAAATAAAATAAATGCGCGCTATATCTACGGCTGTGCCTGTGCGTACGAACTGGCGATGTGGGTCATTCCAAATATGGTATTATATATTTTTAATTTTTTATCAGAAAGAAGTTGCGAAGCAACGTCTCGCGAATACGGGAGCGCGGGTACTGGGGGATTTTTAATATGATTGGGGTTTACTATCTACATTCTACGCTATGAGACGCGTCTGGCCGTTCGTAATAATATCTGATGAGGAGGGCAGAGGACTTGTAACATTTGCTTATTTGTTTTGCACGATCACAAAATTAGCAGAGTAAGAAACAAATACGTTTCATGCTCAAACAAAGCTAGTTTTGAAAATTAGTTTTGTATATAAATGCATATTTTGAGTTTTTTTTTGGTTTTAGTGCAATTTCTTCGATTCTATACGTTAAGATGCATATTTTCAATAATTGATCATGCGTTATCAATATTTTTACCGTCGACGTTTTTATTTAGCTTAAATATTTAATATACAACTAAAATAGTGTTGAATTTTAAATTTTGATCATAATATGGTTGACTGTTCCCACACGCATGTTTTTCCTAGAGACACGTCTCGAGGATTGCGGTTTAGATTTATTTTCCGGTTATTAATTTTATTTAAGAACAGATATTGTTTCACCGCATAACATATTATCATTTATCAATACGGGTCACGGAGACGTCATTCGCAGACATCAAAATCTAAATAAAATATATTCATACAAATAACCTTATTTTTTTAGGTAATACATTATAATATGCATAATAATTTTAAAATGCATATTTTGCACATTTTAGTGCATATTTGGTGATTTTTCAAAGCTACAAGTCCTCTGCCCTACTGATGAGTGATATCTCGGTCCTTAACCCGCATTTATAGAAGAAACATGGTAGTAGAAAATCTAATATTTTCTATTTACTATTAAGTATCATAATTCATAGGTAATGCATAGTCGATAGGCAATATCTATTGTTACATGGGTAATGGGTATTATAATTACATTTAAGAAATAATTTATTGGAATTCAATGCTTAATACACATTACACTAATATGATAATTTTTTTAATACACACAACTTATTGATATTATAATTTTACTTGACAGTCAACATGCTATTTCACGACTTAATCACTGGATATGAACAACCTAAACTAACTTGATGCATTTTATTAATTTCAGAAGTTTGATAAAATTAAAAAATACCACACAGAATAATAATGTTTACATTTTATTTTGAAATTTGTACATAATATACCTTCATAGCCGACCAGATAAATTCAGTGGTAAAATAATTATATTTACTTCTTTTTCCCTTTCCCTCTTTTTTTCAACCATTTTTGTCTTTTTGTTTCTAACATTTTCTTCCTTTTAGCTTTTTTTTTGTCTTTAATTTGTTCAATTTTGTTTTTCATTTTAAATATTTTACTGTTTTGAACAGTTTGAGCTGCTTGTTTTTTAATTGCCTTTTTTATTTCTTTTATTGAACTGAAACCCATGCCAGGTACATTTTCAGCACTATCTTCTTCATTAGTTTTATCATTATCTTCTTCTTTTTTACTTTCTTTGTCATCTTCATAAATTACCTAAAAAAAAAATATATGTAAAAGGATGTAAAAGGAGTAAATAAAAAAATTACTGTTATGTTTGTCAAACATAAATAATAAAAATGTGTACGATATACTGAGCATTAAAAAAAGGATTATATTTCAAGTAATATGTGATTTTACAATGGCGGTAATGGTCTAATATGCAACTTACAATTAATGTTTAGTATGTTACTCTACCTACGATTTGCAGTATTGCAGTAAGTGTATGGAACTAAATTGATCCAAAATTATAAATAAAAAACATAAAAATTTAATTTACAAATTGTAGAAGCCGTAAAAATAATATTTCTGCTTTATAAAAAAAGAGATTACAATAAAAATGCAGAAAGACTATTGCAAAGAACTGATAAATCTATATAGAATAAGGGGGACGAGGTGACCGAGTGGTCTGACTCTTCCGCTGCGACGCAGCCGGTCGCGGTCCGATCCTCGGCCACCGGGCGGCATTTTTCTCCGGACAAGTCGCGGTGACCGGAGAACAAGTGCTGCCATCCCCCACCCCCGGGGCATGGCAGAAACCTACGGGTGCCCCATTCGAAATTCTGCCAAAAACAAACACACACGTGTTCCCCCCTACCGTACCAAAAAATCTACAAACCATCAATACAAACCTACAAATCTACAATACCTACTAAAACAAGCTAATGGCCACAGTTGCCGGGCTCAGGAACAATAAAAAAAAAAAAAAAAAAAAATATATAGAATAATAATAATATTCATGGCAACTTATCTCTACTATAGATTGACAAATAAAGAATAAAAGGTGCAGATCGTATCACTGAAATGTGACTATTTTATATGACTTTGTTAAAAGGAAACTTCTTGTTAGAAAAGTGAGATAAATGTTTTTGACGACTTTTAAAATTGTAAAGAATTAAATTTGTAGGTATGTTGTTAAAATAGATACCTAGCTGATGGATTATCATAAATGTTATGTAATGTTTGGTATTATATTTTTGACATTATGTTTTGGGCCAAAAATATATTTGTAGGTCATGTACTGGCATAGACATAAAAATTATTTTGATATGTACATAGATGTTCTATAACAATTAGAGCTGTGGTCACAAATAATTATCTCTAACAATGTTAAGGTATAATAGACTTTTAATTTGTGCACAAGAATTATTTTACTCATGTGTATAAAATAAATAAAATAATTAATTAGGAAATTCAGAGAAAACTTGCAATGGTTAGCAATCTTTTTTTTGACTGCAATTATCAGACTATTTCGAAATATTATTATTTATTATAGTCCTAAAGCAAAATCAATATTTTCTCATAAATTTGGAAAACTTCAAATATCTGATTGATTTAAATAGTTATAGTAATTTATATTATACCCAATAAAACTTGATTTAAAAAGTTCATATATTTTAATCTCACTGAAAATGTTTCTTAGATCCATTTAATAATACTTTTCAATGAAATATAATTGTCAGTTTGGTAAACACAATTGATGTTATTTCATAAGCCATTACAGTTCATTGGTACATTTTAATACCTGATTTGATCCAATCCAATTGTTACTTTTCGCAATCTCATCTGTTGAAAGGTCACAAATTTGTACTGTATGATTTTCCAAACTATATTCTTTTGTAACCATATCGAGAGGTTCCGGGATAAACGGATGAGAATTAGTCAATTTCAAAAACGTTTCTCTTGCCTAAAATGAAAAATAATAATATTAACAAGCAAGTTTTTAATATTAAAAAAATTAAAACTCATATAATATTGTACCTCAGTCTTGATTCTTTTCTTTTCTTCTTTAAGCTTCTTTTCAAAATCTTCTCTGGCTTTCTTTTTTCGAGCAAGCTTTCTTTTATGAAATCCAGTCAAAAAATCTCTAAAAATATCAACAGTTTGCATTAAACAAAAGTAGTAATAAATAAAAATAATACGCTATTAATATAAATAATAGTAGGATATGACTATGTATAGTACTGATAATACATCACAAACATGCTTTGTAGGTGTATTATGAGAACTGCGATTTGTATTATTAATATGCTTCAAAAACTATTTTACTTTAATACTTACGTTCTAGATTTTTCATCAAAAGTTATGGTTCGTTTAGTTGTCCTATTAATTGGTTTTCGATGCCGTTTCACTTTTGTTCTGTCTTTGAATTCGTATTCCATGTCGACAGTACCTAAGTTACTTATAACAAAAAAATAAGTATTAAACTATTTAACTATTCAACAAAAAACATTAATAATAATTATTTGATTTTTAAAAACACACATGTTAATTGTTATCATGTTGACAATCGGATAGGGAAAATATTGAATTGATAAAGTGATAACAATTTATAACCTCAACAATTCAGTTCAGTTTGACCAACTGCAATATTACCGAGTGGTGGTACTAATCAATCTTTTAAAAGATCTAGATTACGTTTTAAAATTAAAATTAAATAGTAAATACCTGAGATGCCAATTTGGCAATTCCAATAGTATATTGTGTTTTATACAACTATACAAGTATGAATTATGTACATTTATTTTATGTAAGTTTTCAAATTATAAATTATGGAATAATGCTCTTTGATACTTGTAATATTAAATGTTCTATTTGTAAGTTGTAACTGGTTTAAATTGATCATAAATTCATAACATGCATACCTACCTACAAATTATTTACCTAATAGGCACATTGAGCTATTATATATAAGGACTAAGGTGTTTTAAATGTATTGACCGCATGGATAAATCCTTAAGTTAATTATTTCTAGTATTAACTAGGTACCAACTTCCTTATATATCAATGTTTCATGTTCCTATAAGTATAGATAATAAGTAATAACTAATAGTCAATAGCACGAACTAGATAGACTTATTTTCTAAGACCGTGGTCAATAGGTAAAATCATTGTTGAATTTTCTAGGCTGTTTTATTGCCACCACACACAGCACAGCCACATATTTTAGATAATTACAGTTATGGATAATTAGATACAAAATAATTATCTATAAGATCGATAAATTAATCGTTGTAAATTATAAATTCGTTTCAGATGATTTGCTATAATAAAACGTATTTTACTTTACATGTTTTTACATATTTCGTCCTAAATACATGGTCTTACCTAAATTATTTATAAAATGTCTGTTTTTTTTTACATATTTCGTAAATGTTGACAAAAAAATCCAATACGTAAAATATAATTTGTCAATTTCAGCATCAAAATTGGTGGATACTCTTAAAAATTGTAAGTGTATATAGGTATAAAAGTATTTAAATTTAAAATGTTTACATATTTTAAAATTTTTTGCTTCATATTTTGGCCATTTTAATTACATTATATATGTACATATTTTTGGTTTCTTGTTACTTGTAAATCCCAGCCCTAATAATCATAATATACATAAACGCAAATATAGTGTTTGACATTTGCCATATAGACCAAATTAATACAAGCGAATAAGCGATACAATTATTGATGGTGGAATGACGCGCGACGGGGCGACGGTGATTGAACGTGGATGGTGGATGATATTATCTATGGTGGGAAAATAGATGTCTAAAATTATTTTATATTATATATATTATTTATATATATGCTATATGAATGTATGTTTATTAATTATTATCTAGACTCTCTAGTTATTTTCTTTTAGTAGTTTTTAGTAATTGTTCTCTTCTATACTATTAATGACCAATGAGTTGCCTGGTAATATGAATTTCATAGATTTTAAAATAGAGATAAACATATGTATGTTGTATGTAACCATAAATAAGTAATGATTAGTGAGAAGTCATTAGTTTATGAGAGGGATAAGCCCCCCCAGCTCTTATACGTGATCATGATAATATCCATATCCAAATTCATAAAATATTAAATGGGTAACCACTAGGCACTAGGTATAGCAGTACTCAGAAATTACTAATTATCTACTATATATTACCTAATAACTATATTTTTCCTAACGAAACAATTTTACTAAAAATACTAATTACTAATTAGGTAAAAGTTAATAGGTACCTACCCAAGGTGGTTTAGTGGCTAGGTATAGGTACAATATAATCGATGACTTTATTAAATTTTATTTTCATCTATAAAAAAAATAAAATTGTATTCGCTTCAATTGTAAAATATTTTAATTAATATCGTGATTTTTTTGTTATCAATTTACCATTCCAGTACCTACAGCTACTCCTAAAATATTGTTTTTCAACCTTAAAAATGTTGAAAACTTATCTGATATCAACTATAAATGAAGTTATTCAGGACATAGGTATTTATATAAAAGTTATAACCAAAATATTCAGTGTATTTTAAATTTGTTTTATATTTAGGATAGGCTAAAATGTAGCCGTTAATTAATGGACTGCCATTGATGTCTATTCATCGGGACATACCCCTCAATGTGGATGCCATTAATAATAAAATGGCGCTAAGCCCTAGGCGATTAAATATTGTTTTGTAATCTCAGTATCTCACAGTAAAATGTTATTTAATTACAATAAATACTCAACGTGTGTTTTTGTGTAATACTTAAGACTTAAATAGTTAAATATAAATTTTAAATTGTTATAATCATGATAAGCACCAACTATAGGTACCTATATGTTAGCAATTTATTAATTTACTAGTGAACTGCTTACATAATTAGTTAATTAATAAGGTTTTGTTATAATTATAAAGTTTATGATACAAATAAATATTATACAAAATAATTAAAAACTCAAAAATTATAAATTTAATATGGTACAATTTTTTAATTAAGAGAATTTGGGGGTGTGTGGGGGGGGGCAAAGCCCCTAGCGACTGTGTGTTCTGAAAATTATCTGGATGCTCCCCATGACAAATTCCTATAAAATACACTACTGGTTCAAACACAAATAAAAATATTCATTAGTTTACTCTTCGTTCTACCACTGCGTAGTCTTTCACGTTCCGTCATGTACCTAGTCTTACACTCTTACACCACAAGTCCACAACTCACTTTAGGGGTACGACTAATAATATAGTTTGAGAACCGCTGATTTAGAATAACAGCTTCGGCAGGGCAAGACCAAAAATAAATGTTTAGAATTTAAATTGCATACACAAAATGTATCGTTTGCAGTTAATTGTTTCACATCCCAATCCCACATTCCCATTATAAAAAAATGCATTACAGCAGGAGCAATAGAAATCTGAATCTACAATTAAGTCGTTGATCGTAAGTCCGTAAGTACCTATAAAATACAATAAAAAATTATAAAAAATAATTATGAAAATTAAAATTAAAATGCTGAAGTAGAAAATCGAAGCATTTGACTGCCACAAAAAGGTGACGAGTGATGTTAGACAAAAAAATATATTAATAATAATAATGAAAAACACACACGTCATTGTTCTCCGCTCAGAATCTAATAAAAAAAATTAGTTTATAAAATCGTTTATTTTTTATTATCATTGCAAAATATATTATTGTGTAATTAAGAGTAAAAAAGACAACATTTTGTTTTATATTAATTTTTGGAGAGAAAAAATTAAAAAAAAAATTTTATTACAAAATAAAATTTTGTAATAAAAATATTTATAATTATAATAATAAAACATTTTAATTTTAGTGTATTGTACCTAATTGTAATAATTATTAAACAGTTGCCTATTAAATTATAAACAAATAACTAATACCTATGTACAAGGCCGTAGCCAGAAAAATATTTCGNTTAATCTTAATTAAGATTAGATACTGTAGGTATTATGTGAGCTATATATTAGGTTTTACAAAAGTACATTAAGATTAGTTATCGCTTATCTAACACAATATAAATATAAAATATACCGTTAAACCGTTTTATTTTTTTATGTGTTGTAATCACAGTGACACGTATCAAATATAATAGGCATTTAAAACCATTCAATATTATTTCAAAAAAAAATTTCGGGGGGGGGGTCTGAACCCTAACCCCCCTCCCCCCCTGGCTACGGCCTTGCCTATGTAATATTGTTATGTTGTATTCGCATTATAAAATATATTTGGATATTAATACGTTTCTAAAGCTTGATTTTTCTTACAAATGTCTTAATACCTACCTACGTAAGTAGGCTTCGTGGCCCGTAGGGAGGTACACAGTCTATAGACTATAGTAGTCTGCATCGTATAAAGTATAGACAGTGTAGTATACACCCTACACCTACGAACTACCTAACAATCATGGCTGAATAATCAGTCCATTCCCTGTTTCAAATTGTAAATTGTAACTGTTGTTAATTTTTAATGAATTCCATGTGAGTATTGAATAGTCTAAACTACAATAATCCATGTGCATCATAGACCATTATTATGATAATATTTTTTTAAAATTTATTACACATCATATATAGTATGTATTTACTATTTATAAGCATTATGAGTAATTTTAGTGTTATTCGTCGTTATCAGCACGTACCCGTTTTTAGTCCAGACATGTTTTGACTCTATACTCATTCTTAAAACACCTGTTAACCGGTTATTTTATTATCTTTGTTTTTTCTCTTACACTAGTGAGTACTGAAACTGAGTAGTGACTAGTTTCCTATCGGAATTTTCCATGCTCGTTCGTCTTGGGGCGTCTTATTATGAACATGATTTGTTTGTGTTTTTCAATTTGTGCTATCGTATGTTCGATTAACGTTTGTTGTGAAAGCCCGATGAAAAAAAAACAAATTAACGTTGCAAAGCACTTCAATTAATGAATCGGCAAAGAACTTTTTTTTTTTTTTTTATTGTGTAATTTGATTAGGTATCTATTGGTACATCTATTTTTATTCAAGACGTTTACGTGTACAATACATGCGCGTGATGAAATTCATATCGCTTTTCCGCCGGAACCACAACCAGGGTAGCCCTTCCGAGGGGGTGAGGTCCTATCAGCAACCCCCAGTGACAATGGAATCAGCTGTTTTCCCGCCAAACAACAAACTACCTCAAGAAACGGAAAAACTTCAACAGCAGCACCAAAAACAACATCAACAACAACAGCAGCAGCAGCAACAGCAGCAAGAACTGCAGAGAGAAGCTATGGGCAGCCGTGGTGCTACGGCTGTCGGTGTGTCCCCGACCAACACGATCGAGCAGTCTAGTAACGGAACCGGGTACATCGAAGAGTTAGAAAAGCTGCGTCTGGAAGTTCAACTGTTGAAGGTAAACTTGCAATACTAGAATATATTGTTACAATATTTATTCATGCTAAAAAAAAGTAAAAAAAGTATAACTTTAGAATGCAAATAAGTTGGTATTCTAAATTTTAGTGCCATGAGTAAATATCTCAATGTCGTTGATGATGTATTATCTAATTTTGT